GACCTCATGTCTATAGGTTTTCCAGGGCAGTAACCTTTTGTAATCAGCTCACCAGGCTTATCTTTGAAAGCATCTCTGGATGGGTTTGAACTATCAACTTTTCAGTTAGTAGTTAGGGGCTTAAGCATTTTTACCATGCAGGGACTCCCGAAGGGATATTAATACATTACTATTAACCACAGTCTAAAGGAAGGAGCTCCAGTGGCACTATTGGGCAATCAGTGGGCTGCTAAACATAACGTTAATGGTTCAAACCCATCAGCCTGTCTGCAGGAGAAAGATGACGTTGTCTGCTTCTGTGAAGATCCACAGCTTCAGAAAACCTGTACAGCGTCACTGAGTGGGAGTCGACATGCCCTTCAGTACTTTAGATAAATAAATATTGGCGTAGTCATACAGTGGGATACTGTTCATCAATAACAGTAAATGAATTACAGGTTTACTCTGTATACAGATGAATCTAGTAAACAAATCTACAAGAGACACCACAGCATAATATATGCTCTATGAGTTTATTTGCATAAAGCTAAGAAATGGACAAAATCAAGTGATTTCAAGCCAGGTAGTGGTTACCTTGCAGGAAGGATGGGTAGAAATTGAGAGGGGGCACCTGGGGATCTTGTTTGCATTGTTGTAGTTTTTGTCATGGGTGGTGGTTTCATGGGACTTCGCTTTGCAATAATATCTGTACGTTTTTGTTTTGTGTACTTTTCATATTAAATGCCACAATTTGAAAAAAAGTTAAATAACCTTTTTGAGGTGTTGAGAAGGGATTTCAGTACTATCTCCTGGTCTTTAGACTTTCAATTCCATTAAAAAAAATTATTAAGTAGGATGGGAGAAAGATGAGGCTGTCTACTCCTGTAGATTCAAAATCTTAGAAACCCAAACAAGCAGTTCTGTCCTGAACTATAGAGTCACTATGAGTCAGAATGGACTCGGTGGCGGTGAGCTAAAATCATTAATTGCTAAGTCATTCACTTCAGAGAGTTATTTCTTGAACTTTTCAGTTTCAGAATAGAATTTAAACATTTTCGTTTGCTTTAAATTAGGAGGTGTTAATGATGCTGGATAACTATGTAAGGGATTTCAAAGCACTGATTGATTGGATTCAACTTCAGGAGAAGCTAGAGAAGACAGATGCGCAAAGCAGGTACTTTCTGGTTTTTATGTTTATAGCAGCCAGCTGGTTTCAATAGGAAATGTTGAAATTGTACAGTGGGCTTGACCTCAGATTAACTTGACACTTGTAAACCGTTGGATGCTACATTTCTCATGCAGTTCAGTAACAAGTATGTATTGGCTACCCATCAGTGCAAGATATTTTTAATTACTGAATAGAACACATACATGACTCTCATTAAGTGTTCTCTAAAGGAAATAAATCACATAAAAACTGTGATGAAGGCGATGAAGGAGAAAGTACTATATTCTGAATGTAACATGTAACAAGGCCGGATCAAATCTGGAGACTTCAGGAAGACTTCCAGCGATCTGAAGTCGGAATGATTTGGGCTAACAAGGGGAGGGAGAGCAGGTGCTACAGGCTGTTGGTCAGGAGCGTGTAAAAACCAAAGCAGAGAGCTAGAGGGGATGATGAAATCTGGTGATGCAGGTATCGGGCAAACACATGATAAGGATTTTGATCTTTATTTTTAGTGCAATAGATAGCAGTAGAAGAAATCCAAATAGGTAAGTGGTATGAATAAATTTGGAGTAAAGAATGAGAGGGTAAGAAGAACCTATTAGGAAGCTGCCGCAGTTATTCCCTTGAAAGATCACAGATAGCTCATAGACCAAGGACAGCCGTGGGTTTGCAAAGAATGATTTGAGAGCACTTTAGGAGATAACACATTTAGGTTTAAATGATGGTGGAAGCACAAGACTGTATTAAAAAGTTGTCACCTGGGCTTTTGACTTTAGCAAGTGATATCATTCACCAAGGACACTGGAGAAGAAAAAAAGTTCTGGGTTAGAAGTGGAAGCCGGATTGTGAGTTTGGATTTGTTTCTGAGACTTCCACTTTGCTATCTCCTATCAGTAAAGGAGTGTGAACTGGTAAAGGACATTGAGAGACATGGCCAGTGGTGTATAGTGGCAAAATTCATCAACAATTTTGCCTTTGTTATTGGTAACATAACTCGGAATAGATTTACGTTATTGGATCCTTCCAGTGGTAGGATCTATGCATAGATCTAGGTGTATTCTTCATCACCCTGTCACACATGACAGTCCTGCAACTCTTATTATCCTCGTATTGCAATAGACATATATGTGGTAGGCTATTGCATCCTTATTAAAAATGTTCTTGTCACAAAAACAAACTCCAGGTAGATCAAAGACCTAAATGTAAAACCCAAAGCGGTTAGGGTCATCAGTGAGAAAATTGGAACAAAGCTAAGTGCCCTAGTGCAGGGAATGGATGGGCTATCAGAGATAACAAAGGAAACACCCCCGTAGAAGATGAAATAGCCGAGTAGGACCTATTAAAAATAAAACACTTGTGCACCTTGAAAGACTTCATCCAAAGAGTAAAAGGAGAGCCTACAGATTGGGACAAGATATTCAGTAATTACATAACGGACAAAGGACTAATTACTAAGACCTACAGAATTTTACAAGCCTATAACAAGAAAAAAACTAATAACCCTCTGAGAAGGTGGACAAAGGACTTGAGCAGACGATTCACAAAGAATGGCACTCTAATTAATGCCTAATAAACACATAAGGAAATGCTCCCAGTCACTAGCCATCCGGGAAATGCAAGTCAAAACTACCATGAGATATCAACTAACGCCCAGAACTGTAGCCCAATTAAAAAAAAAAAGAACAACAAATGTTGGAGAGGGTGTGATGAGATTGGAACTCTTATTCACTGCTGGTGGGTTTGTAAATGCGTACAGCCACAGTGGAAGGTGATATGGTAATTTCTAAAACAGATGGCAATTGAAATACCATATGACCCAGCAATCCTATTACTGGGCATATACCCAAAAGAAATAAGAAACACCACGGACACACGTATGCTCCCCCATGTTCATTGCAGCACTGTTCCTAATAGCAAGAGGTTGGAAACAGCCCAAATTCCTGAAGTAGAAGAGTGGATAAAACAAAAACAAAACTCTGGTACGTACACACAATGGAAGACTACATATCCCTAAAACACAGCAATGAAACTGAAACACCTCACAACATGGAGGCATCTGGGAGACGTTATGCTGAGTCAAATTAGTCAGTCACAAAAGGACACACCCTGCTTGAGTCCACTGCTGTAGGAACAAGCAGCAGAGAAGGCACAAGCTCTGGCTTGTAGGGTAGCTAGTCTGCTGGCTAGCAGGGCCAGGCAACCTGGGGGAGAGCCTGACCAGTGTCAACGAACCATACACCATCCCTTCAGGAGGGATGAGATTTAAGTCCCAACCCCCATGACGCTATTGGCATTGGAAAAGCCTATTCAGAATAAAGTTGTATGCACTCAGAAAAAAATGTTGGTCAAATAGTCTTTCTGAGGACGGTGTTTAAAAACGTTGTGGGAAAATGGAATGAAAAGATAGTGAACTTTTACCATCAACTTTTTGAAGCCTCATATTCAGAAGGAAAATACACATGATCAAGTATTAAAAAGTAGACAAGTTTCCAATTATAACTCATACATAGGTATAAGAGCAGTTTGTGGGAAACCCAATTCAAAGAGTAGGGACAGCATTCTGCCACCGTAGCCATGGAAGAGTAGCAGCCATGGGTCTTAACAGGGCCAAGTGTGACCGAGAAGGATCACGGTGCCGCTCCCAGCACCCCAAGTTCGCGTGGGACGAGACCAGCAGGGGTGCGGCCTTGCACCTTGTCCCCAAGGACAGGCGAGCGCCCACAGGATGTGAGAGGAGCTGAGCCGTGTGGGCCGCCAGGAGGAAGGCGGCTGCCAAGGACTGCAAGTCCTCCCCCATGATGAGAAAGCCTTTCCAGAAACAAAAAAAGTGGACACAAAATTGATTATCCGTATATAGAAAGTGGAATTTTTACAAAAATGTTTGACGCTCCCTCGAATGTTTACATGTGCGTGTACATACAGGTATACCTAACATACAATTTTAAAGGTAATGTAAGTATACATTTTGAAGCATGTACAAGGGGCTTCAAAATGATTATGGAAAAACAAAAAAATAATGGATTTTTTTCCAAATATAAAAGAAATATTATACTGAGAAACTAAAGTTTAATAGACCATCCTACCTTTTTGGACAGTATAGTATACTAGGGATTATTTTAATCTTAGCTGAATTTTGTTTTCTATTACTTTTTTAATAAGAGAAAAAAGTCACTATGTACGACCTAGGTTCAGTGGTGGAGTATGAGGCCAGGTGACGCAAGGCAATGTGAACCCCGGCCTGGGGTGCAGAGAGGCTCTGCAGAACGCTTGGGGAGCGATTGTTGCAGTGGCTGTGAGGTTAGTGAAGAAGGAACAGTCAGCGTGAAGATGATTCGTTATACCTCGGTTCCCGGCCCAGAGCAGTGAAATCTTTGTGACCCACTCTCATGGGTCATTGGGAGATGGTAATTAAGACTTCACGTTTTCCTCTGTATTCTTTATTTAACCTTCACCCTGCCTTTAGGTCTTGGTTCCTTTTCAACAAACTTACTTCTCAAGGAGATCAGAAACAGGTAGCCCAAAACAGTACCACTGCTTCATTAAGTAATTTTTTAAAGCTGAGGGAGTGGAGGCTTGTAAAGAAGCAGTATAGCTAGCTCAGTGTTTCTGTCACCCCAGGGTCTTTAGATATGGAGGGTTGTACTGGCTGGAAAGGACAGCACCGTTCTGTCGAGTGAGCAGTGCTAACGAGGGAAAATAATGTCATGAATATCATCCACTAACAACCAAGAGAAAAGATGACCTTAGTTTTCTTCCTTTCTCCATTAATTTAATCAACTCTGTGCGTTCATTTGGCAGACCAACTTCACTGGCATGGGAAGTAAAGAAGATGTCTCCGGGCCGTCATGTCATTCCAAGCCCATCAACAGACAGAATCAATGTACCATCCAATGCTCGAAGAAGCTTAAATTTTGGGTGAGATGAACTGAAAAAACCCAAACTACTGTATAATGAATGAGTAAATTAAAACTGATCAATCCAGTTTATGTTAAATGATTTATAATATGAACTGACAAGTTTTTTCATAACAAAGGAATATATGTACGTATATAATAAACTCTTATTTAGATTTGCTGACATTGCCTTTATGTATAAATTTAAAGTAATTGATTACATAGTACAAATAGTTATCTGTGACTCAATGCTTGGTGTAGTTAGTGATTAATGAAATAGGTTTTTACTTTACATCGAGGGCATATTAAATATAGGTACTACTTTAAATTTTTAAATTATGTTTTAAAACTATGAATTATAAAATATTAAACAGGGCAAAATTATATATCCGCATGGTAGATGATCATTATAAAATAGCTATCGCCCACATAGTTACTTTCCAGTCAAGAAATGGAATATTGCCAACTCCCCAAAGCACTTTGTGTGTTCCTTCCCAATAATTTACATGGTATCCACTAAGGTAATCGATCATTTTTTGGGTAATAATCTCCTTGTTTTTTTCTCTAGTTTTACTATCTATGTATATTTTCCTAAAATGGTTTAGTTCTGCATAATTTTATGCAGTCTTATCTTTATGAAATCTTTTTAGTGTGATTTATTTCTCTCCTTATGATATGTAAAATTTATTTTCTATATGACTATTTTAATTCACTTTAAGTTCTCAATAACATTTTAGTTTTATGAATATTCAAATTATCTGTTAAATTTTGATATGTTTTGATGTGTTTTCCAGTTGAGGCTTTATAAACAGTCCTGTTATGAATATTCTTATACACACAACAAGTACACATGTGCCAGAGTTTATTAAATACAGCAGGAACTGGGAAGGATTGGGTCATAGGTTTATGTATATTCAACTTTACTGAGTAGCATCAAACTTTGCCTAAGAATTTGTACTAACTTGGCACTTCTACCAGTAGTACGTATGAGCTTCTTATTGCCCTGTGTCCTTGACACTGGTGTTGTCAGATTATTCTCTTTTCCCTCTAATATAGGTATATATTGATGTACGCACATACATACCCACGCGTGCGCACGCGCACAGACACCCCCCCACACACACACACACAGCTCACTGCCATCAGGTTAATTATGACTCATAACAACCCTATAGGACAGGGTAGAATTGCTCCTGTGGGTTTCCAAGACTGAATCTTTACAGGAATAGAAAGCCCCAACTTTATCCTGAGGAGTGGCTGGTGGTTTTGAACTGCTGACCTTGCAGTTAACATGTAGCCACTATGCCACCAGGGCACTTGTATATATATAAAAAATAGGTATATATATGTTAACTTTTTATTGTGAATTGAGTGAAGGTTTACAGGACAAATTCATTCAGTAATTTATGCACATTTTATTTCATCTTCTTGGCTGTACTCCCCACAATGTAAAATCACTTATCTCACATGCTCCGTTTGTTTCCTATTTCCGTTCCTTCTCCTTTCCTGACCCTTTTGAACTTTGTTCTGGGGCAAATGCTGCCCTGGTGATCTGAAAGGGTTGATTATTTTAAGGTTTTAAGGTGTGTATACCTTACTAGTGTTATTGCTCCCCATTGTTTGGCCTATTGTTTGGGCATTGGAGTGAGTTTATTTCCAAAGCTGAAGGGTGACTATGGTCCATATCTCAGAGGTTCTTTCAATCTCTGTCTGACCAGTAAGCCTAGTCTCGTTTTTATTACTGTTTAGAGTTCTGTTCATATTGTTCCCCTGCTCTATCCAGGTCCTTCTAATGTGATGTGATCACTTTCAGAGCAGTTAGTGGTAGTATCCAAGGACCATTAGTTCTTCAAGTCTCAGAGTTGTAGAGATTGATATTTGCATGATTTGTTAATCCATCAGACTAACTAGTTCCGTATTTTCTTCATCCCTCCTCCCCCTGGAGAGGGAGAAACCAATAATTGCACTTCAGATGGCTGCTCATAAGCTTTTCAGACCTCAGTCACTACTCACCAAAGTAGGACTTAGAACAATGTCTCTGTGGGGACTACTGTTACGCCAAAAACAGTCACCACAACTTTCTGAGCTAACGTCCCCGATGCCATGGTCCTGAGCTGTGTAGCCCAGCAACTCATTCCCTCAGGTGTGTGGTTATGGCTAAGAAGTTTTTATAACGTTCTCCTGTATACTCTACCCCATTTATGATGTATTTGCAGAAAATTTAAATGTCAGATTAGTCTTAATAGCCTTCTTGACCTACAAGAAGTCAAAAGTATTGCTACAAAATCATAGACGTCTTTATTAAGTAAAAATATCAAAATATGAAGCTGCTGGTTGTTTACATAGCCTCCATCTAGGTCTGTACACTTCTGAATGTGCTGTTTCTATCTCTTAACTCTTCCCTGAAGTATTCTACCCTCTTCAATTTACACCACATCAAAATGCTGTTTTAGATCCTGGGGGTACTGATCATCATCCTTGAAATGATTTTGAGTTTGAGGAACAGAAAGAAGCCAGAAGGGGCAGATCTAGAGTCTGTTGGGTGGATGGGGTGAGGTTTCCCAATGAAATTCTTGTAGGACAGCCTTGAGACTCTCAAAGAACGAGCAGGTACATTGTCCTGATTTAAAAAAAAAAATAAATTGGGGGAGGGGGGCAGGGGCACAATTTTCCTGGCCTTTTTCTCACCAGTGCTGTTTTCAATGATTAAAAGCATCCTAATAAGTTCCTGTGATCATTCTGTGTCCTGTGAAAAAAATCTATCAAGATTCCCAAAAAACAGGAAGCATAACTTTGTGAACTAAACTCTCTGCTTTGAATTAGGTCTTTCTAACGCTCCTTAAAACACTGGTTCCACCCAAAACCTGGGGTTTCACAGGGGCCGCCTTCTCCTAATGTGCTGCAGAGCTTCAGTGGTTTGGGAGAGTCTACTCGCTGTGAGCCCTGACTCAAAATTGTTTTTTCATGGCACGAAAATGTATCCTTTTTAGTTGTATTTTATTAAGGGCACCTTAATGAGACTAAAGGGAAACCTGGTGGCATGGTGGATTACTCAGACTGCTAACCACAAAATCAGCAGTTCTAAAGCAACAACTACTCCAAGGGAGAAAAATGAGGGTTTGTGTTAGTCCGGGTAGACTAGAGAAACAAATTCAGAGACACTCATATGTGTTTAAGAGAGAGTTTTATATCAAAGAGTCATTGTATATTAAGAAAACATCCAATTCCAGCCCAGATCAAGTCTATTAAGTCTGATATTAACCCATATGTCCCATACTAGTCCATACTTTCCTGTTCAGACTCACACAACACATGCAATGATGCCAAATGCAGGAAGATGACAGACCTGGGTGGAAAATCTTGTGGATTCAGTGGTGGTGGAAGCATCTCCAGGGCTCTGGCTGCCATCAGCGTGGCTCCATGTGGCTCGTCATCAGGAATGGGAAGCAGAGAGAGAGAGATCCCAGAATCCTCATGAGAAGACCATGCCTATAAGGAGGGATCAGGCTGTGACCTGATTGGCAGGCTAGACTCTACTTCTTCATTCTTAATGATCGAGTTGACATGAAATTGTGTAATTACCACAGGCTTCTACTCCCATAAATAGTTTGATCTTGGAAACCCACAGGGGCTACAAGGTTGATATGAGTCAGAATTGACCTGAGGGTAATGAGGGTTTTTTAATTTTTTTACAATTAGACTAAGACAAGTGTAAGGGTACGTTAAAAAAGTATTGATACAAAGTCATAGAAACGTAACAAAAATAACAAAATGTGAAGCTACTATTTCTCAACATATTTATTTAGGTCTATACATTTCTGAAGGTGGGGTTTTCCATCTTTTTAACCCTTACCAGAAGAATTCTGCACATTTCAATTTACACCATGTAAAAATAGCCCTTTTGGTGTCTGTGAGGGACTCAGTTGTGTTCCTTTGAAATGGTCTTTGAGTTGGGAGAACAAAAAAGAAATCTGAAGGGACATTATCAGGACTTTAAGGTGGATGAAGTGAGGTTTCTCAAGGAAATGTTTGAATGACAAGCCTTGCTACTCTTTGAGAATGAGCAGATACATTGTCGTGATGGAGAAACAAAATTTGTGGCACAACTTTCCCGGCCCATTTCTCACCAATGCTGTTTTCAGTCTTCTTAAAACTTCTCTCTAAAGGGCCCCCATGATTGTGTACTGTATTGGTAAGATTAGATTGTACCAATACCATCCAGAGATCAAGTTCCCATCAAAAGAGTAGCTCTGAGGTGATCTGCTGGGTCAGTTAAATTCAAGGCAGAGAGGTTAGAAAGTTATAGTCATTGTTTTTTGGAATTCCAAAGGGGTAAGTTTTTTGTTGTTCCGTTTTACTGATTCTTCATGAATTCTGGCTATTGGACTCTTTTCTGATGTATGTCTTCCATTCCTGTGCTTTTGGTAATATCTGAAAATTTATTACCCAAGAGAAGGTCTTGAAGCTTTACTCCTATTTTACTTTTAAGTGTTTTAAGGCTTAGCACTTATCTTTAGGTATTTGGTCCATGCTGAGTATATTTTCGTACGGTGGTAAGATGGTATAGTGATAGCGTCACAGTTTGCACATGGAAATCCAGTTGTCCGGACAGTTTGTTGAGTAGACTGTTCTTTTCATATTGAATGGTCTTGGAATCATTGCTCAAAATTAGTTGATCATAGATGTATGGGTTCAGTTTTGGATTCTCGGTTCTATTCTTTTGTTTTTTTTTATGTTCAGTACTACACTTTCAATTACTGTAGCTATGTAGTACATTTTAAAACCGGGGACTGAGTCCCACTTTATATCTCTTTTTTTTTCCTGTGAAGTTTTTGTTTATTTATTTTAATCATTTTATTAAGGGCTCATACAAGTCTTATCACAATCCATACACACATCAATTGTGTAAAGCGCATTTGTGTATTCATTGCCCTCATCATTCTCAAAACATTTCCTCTCCACTTAAACCCCCGGCATTAGGTCCTCATTTT